GACCATGGGAAACACGCATCACCCTGGCTCTAAGTATTGCACTTCAAACTTGTGTCTAAGTGTCTCTTTTTCCGGATTTCTCGTCATTCGCTTTGACTACTTGATGTAGTCCACAACTATCCACTTAATGCTTTAAATTTTATTTAACTTCGTGTGTTTGTAAAACTTTCATCGACATAGTATGTTTTTCAGCCTCCAAAACTGTCGTTGTTTTGCATGTTGAGTCGGATGTAATACGGCTCTTTTTCGCAGCAGTTCTTCTAAAGCAATCGTTGATGTCAATGTGACCAAAAGTCTTGCGTGTTTACTTGGAGAACTTAGTGCTTTTTGCGATTCCTCCTTTCATTCTTTCCTTGCTGCTGTTTTCTCCTGTCATTCGGTAGTTGCGATGTATCCCGTATGCTGCCGAACCTTGAGTTTATCACCGCAGTAATCAGGAATCGAAAGAACAGCGAGGCCTTTATATTTAATACAAACCAGCATTGCCAAATTAAGTGCCAATGTCCTAACACAGTCTTGTCCTGAAATTCTTAGTGTGGTTAGCAAACTGCTAGTCTCAAGTAGGTGGAACTAGGCCATCAATCCATATTTGGGAAGGTTGGCTGGACACTTCGGAAATTAACATATTTTTGTTTGCCTTTGTTGCGAAGACCTATGTGACCATTTCCCTGGAGGTTGTAAACGGTCTGCTCTGCGACCGAATTGACTTTTAGTTGGACGGAAAAAAGATGATGACGAAATCCTAAATGAAATTAGCGGCTTCGTACCAGCTTTTTGGGAGTGATGATGCGTTGTGGTGCCTGAACTAGATAAGTCACTGCCATGTTTAATCCCTTAAGAAATTAATGGGCAAACTTTGAGTTACTATTGCGACGTGGAGGTGGCTAAATGAAGCTGTGGTTTGCTGTTGTGCAGTTGTCTTCGAGTTGGTAACATGGTGCGCTCCCTGCGAGAATTTTCAGACCGAGTTCTCCCGATCCGCTGCTCCATAAAGTCACGCTTGCAGACGTCATTGAGGCCGGCTAAATCAGACATCATCACAATCGTGCAGAATGCAAGCACATCAGTGTATTCAAGGGCCTAGGCGAAGTTTGCCGGCCTAAAGGTCCTACTATTCGCGGTTGATTGTGATTGGGGCCCACATCTGCTAATTTATTAAAAAACTTTGGTGAAAATATATGGCTTTGCCCGCTACCGGCTCCGCTCGTAAGGTACTCCTCTTCAACTCATGTTCGAACAGTTTTCCTACGAGTTAATAGGCTAGTCCGTACAAATTTCTGGGTCTTAATGGCATGTTGTCAAACGTCTAGGCCATCCGGAAGGTGATTCCGTTGACCTGGTCAAACGCTTAGTCAGAATAGAAAGGACGATCAGTCTAATTTTACCCTTGAGAAGATCGCCCTAAGATCCGTCGTATGGTAAACGGTTTGATAGCACACCCCCATACATTCAAAAATAGTTTGTGAGGGCACTAACATAAAGTTGATGACACTGTAGACTTGGGTGTCGCCTCTGTATGCGCTGCATACTTTTTGTATATTGAACTAGTTATTTTATGTCACTTAGTTGTTCATCGTTCCCGGGAGTTTTGCTGTCTGGGGGACACTTTATGACCCTTGGAGTTCCAGCAGCAGGTGACTAGACGCAGTTGCTGCAGGGGTGCCACAATGATCGCTAAACAAAATTATCCATTAAAGTACTATGTACAGCGCGACAGTCGTTTAGACAGTTAATTTTGCTTGTCCAACTCGTAGCTGAATTGCTTATCGAATGCCGACAAAGCAAACTGAGACAGTTAGAATGGCCAACGGCTAGGATTCTTCTCAACTCCGGTGTCATATTCTCTTTGTATCGGTGTCAGACAACCCTAATTGTTTGTGTTGTTTGAAGACTGGTCGCTCAATATTTTGTACCTCCGACAAGACAGGTGCAACTGCTATTAATTATGTGGACGTCTGAAACACGCATAATAGACAGCTGGGTGTTCTCGTATTCTTTCAAGGCGCTGACTTCA